TCTAAATCGATTTCCGTCTGTGAATCCAGGTGAAAAGTGAATGGCTTCACAATGCTGGCGTCGGGGTGGTTGCTCACGTTGCCGACAGCCTGAAGCAACAGGAATCCTCCTCCTCATTCATCACTGCCAGCTTATAGCTTCAAATCTGTATGTAATATAAGTGCAGTGCAGCTGAAAACATGTAGAATAAGTTAACCTCACCATTTCACATTTGTACATGTAGCATGCAATGTGACCGATAAATGTAGTTCGCTAGCTTCGCTCTTGCGAAAGAGAGGTTTATATAAAAAGAAAAACTCATGAAAAGAGCTTGAAAATTTTGAGTTTTACAAAATAAATGGTAAAGTGAATGGTACCATAAATGATTTTTTAAAGTAAAAATGTAGTTTTTCGTTAAAATGAACAATACTGGAGCTTTTCGTTAAAGTTCTCGTTGGATATTATTTTCTTCTTCTTTTTTTCTTTTTAAATAACCAACACCATTGATTCTTTTGAATCAACGAGTATGCAAATCACACATGCGAATATAAATGATTAAAATAAAAAATAAAATTTTTTGCACGAATGTCAAATTATGATTGACAGTTACGTTGAAATTACTACTTCCTAAAGAAAAAAAATTTGAAGACAGAGAAAATGAAAAATTACAAATTTAAAGGAAGTCAAAAGAAAAATGGAAAATTGGAAAAAGGTGCATCGTTCAGCTTAAATTTCACGTTCAACTGTTTTCCGCCGCCATCAAGAACCAGTCTATTCCACGCGCCCTGCCTAAGCCGCTACTGATATTCTCACGAAGCCAAAGTAGTATGTGCGTCCACGTTTCGAGTCGCGCGTGGGTATTGTAGGTGGGGTTTTGAGCCGGGCCAGTTCCGGCGTAGACGAAATATAAAGATTTTTTAATGTAATCGGTACACAAATAATATATCTGTATTACTATACAAGGATATGAAAAAATTAATAACTTAAAAAAAAGTAAAATCTCCTATTATTTATATAAAAACAAATTGTGTACCCGTCGTCCGTTACAACGAAAAATTTCTAAACGTAGTGGAATCCGGGGCCCTCCAAACCGGTCCTCACCCACCCAACCACACCAAAAGATGGCCCATGCCTTTTTCATAAAACAGTCATTCTAGAGAGAGAAAGGAGGAGGAGAGAGAGAGGAAACTTCAGAGCTCATAGAGACTAGAGAGAGGGAGAGAGGAAGAGAGGAAGTAGTGAGAGAGTGAGATCGGCCATGGCTTCCCCCAAAGAGAGAGAGAACTACGTCTACACTGCGAAGCTCGCCGAGCAAGCCGAGCGTTACGATGGTAGCATCTCATCCCTTCACTCTCTCACTTATTTTATTTTTTAATGATTTTTTTTCGCTTCAAAATTCATGAAATCAAAGACTTATACTCTGTTTGTCTACTCAGAAAATCAAAGAAACCAGAAAAAAAAAGAGATCTGAGCGTTAATTTCTTAATTTTTCATGGAATTAGGGTTTTGAATTGCATTTACTTTACCTTCTGCACCTTTTATTTGCAGAAATGGTGGAGGCGATGACGAAAGTAGCGAAACTTGACGTGGAGCTCACTGTAGAGGAGCGGAATCTGCTTTCGGTCGGGTACAAGAACGTGATCGGAGCTCGCAGAGCTTCGTGGAGAATTCTGTCGTCGATTGAACAGAAGGAGGAGGGGAAAGGGAACGATCAGAATGTGAGCCGTATCAAGGAGTACAGGCAAAAGGTCGAGTCCGAGCTCTCTAGCATTTGCAGCGACATCATGAGGGTTATTGATGAACATCTCATTCCGTCGTGCACTGCTTTTGAATCCACTGTGTTTTTCTACAAAATGTGAGCGGTTTTTATGCTTTCGATTGAGTGTTTTGGAGTGGTTAAAGTATTTGGCTTTTGAATGGTTTATTCTGTTTAATTGCAGGAAGGGAGATTATTATCGCTACTTGGCGGAGTTTAAGACTGGTGATGACAGGAAAGAGGTTGCTGATCAGTCAATGAAAGCTTATCAGGTATAATACGAGTTGGTCTTTAATTTATGAACTCTAATCATTCAATTAAAGTTTTTGGCGTATGCGCTGCTTGTTTGCTAAGAAGTATGAGGGACTCGAAGAGAAAAGAAATCAGCTTTATTAACTATTTGTTGCTCAAACGAGCAAAAAGTAAAACTGATATCTGATGTGAATGTTAGTGCTAACTAAACTGGTATCATCTCGTGTTGAAAATGACCAGCAATGCTATGCTGAAATTTAGTGTCAAGACATGGTACCGATGCTGGCCCTTGCATTGAACTACGTGATTTAGTGGTGTGGCCGGCTATATCTAAGTATTAGCTTAATTTTTTTTGTTAGAATACCATTGATTTGAGATGTATGCTTATCGCCCTTGGTCACACTTTGAAGTTGCTCGCTTTTATCTGAAGCAGCCTGTTATTGAAATGAGGGCGGCTAGGTCCCTTTTCTCTCTTTATCTCACTTCCAGCTGTTCTAATTTGGATTTTGCATCTGTCTGTTATGTCTATCTATTTTGCAGGCAGCTTCTAGTAAAGCAGAAACTGATTTACCCCCCACACATCCCATCAGACTGGGTTTGGCCTTGAACTTTTCTGTCTTTTATTATGAAATCTTGAACTCTCCGGAAAGGTATGCGTGCTTATGGTGACCAAGATTCACAATATCACATTCTTTTTCTTCATTTTGGCCAAAAGTAAAATTAGAAGAAAAGAATTCTTATTGGTTGCGTATTGGTAACTTGCTCCAGGGCATGTCACCTTGCAAAGCAAGCTTTTGATGAAGCTATCTCAGAATTGGATACTTTGAGCGAGGAATCATACAAAGACAGCACCTTGATCATGCAGCTCCTGAGGGACAACCTTACATTGTGGACCTCTGACATTCCAGAGGATGGAGGTAATGAGATAGCCTTATGGAGAATGTTATGTTATGTGGTGGAATTTTTCCTGACTTGTTATGTGTAGTTTCATCAAGTCATGCGATGCTTGTTCTTGACTACCAACTTTTGGATTATGGTTTGAGAAATGAGTATATGAAATTGTGATTGTGAGATGCTTGTCTCACTTTTAGTATATTACAATCATCAACACAATGAGAAAAATTAATAGTAGAACAATTTCTTCAGTGGAAACTGAAGATCAAGTAAAATGTGAATTCGACAGGTTGGTTTCCAATAATTTATGAAGGCGATTCTCATATTCTTATGATTCAATTAGACGTTACATCTAAAAACATACGTTTTGTCTTGTGAACGTTGTGTGTTATTATGTGTCATGGATGTGAATTGTGAATATGTTTCCCTTTTTGTGTACCAGCTTGAGTCTAGTAAGATGTTCAATCGCCTTTCCGTTTGAATTACATTGAGCTCTGAACAATACAGAGTACTTGGGTTTATAGTATTCACGTGTCCTAGAAATTTGGTCGATTATACCGAGAGATATTGGATATTAATCTGATACTTGCTACAGGCGAGGATATACAGAAGGTGGACGGCTCTGCTAAACCTGGAGGTGAAGATGCAGAGGTATAGCTTACTCCGGTCATCCAATTAGCAACCATCATTTTGTTCTTTCATTTTTCGGCCATATCTAGCAAGCATTGTGTTATAGTTATTTGGTTTGTGGGTCTTCGACGTCCTTAGTTTCCTTTTTCTTTGTGCAGTGAATGTAAGCGGCCTATGGCTGGCCAGGGCTTGTGTAATTTGACGGATGGAGAAAGTCGATGCAGGGTCTCGTTTGTTATGGTGTTTGTTGTTAATTTTTCTCCAGTGAGATTCTAGTTAAATGTTCTGCTAGTAGCATTTGCAACCCCGAAACGCCGAATTCATCTGTGACTTAATGTAAAAGCTTTCTTCTACATATCCAAATTTCAATCCTCTGTTTGTTGAGAATGGGATTTATCTGCTGAATGTTTAATTTGTTTTCTTCGACTGTTTGCGTACTTTAACTGCTGTGGGTTTCATGTGACTCAATAAATCATTAAATTAGGTTTAACGTTCTTTCGGAAAGATGACATTCACATTTTTTTCACAAAAACTGTGAGATATTACTCACCGGATTTCGTCGGTTGTGCGAAATCCTACAAAAAAAATATATATATATATATCAAAATTTATTTATGTAACATTTTTGCCGTGTTATAGCTTCCAAAATTAAGAAACTTTCTATATGTTAAACCATCGTAAAATTTATGTTCGTGAAACTTTTGACATACCATAACCTTCTTAAAATTTGTATAAAATGTTTTTAAAATGTTAATGCCTACCGGATTCCACTCTGGTTATTAAGTAACTACTAACCGCATTCACCAACACTGTTATTTAGAGCATCTCCAATGAAGATATGCAAAACCATATTTATGTCTAGTTTCACATTTTTGGGAGATATAGACGGGAGTTCTACTCCAATGGTAGATACATAAGTTTGAAATTCCATTTAATTTTCTCTCTTTGATCGGTGGGACTCATCACCAAAAGATGTAAAAGTATGGGTGCATTTTTGCTCACCATCCTTAAATGGTGGCAATGTTCAACATCCTATTTGTCACCATTGTATAAGTTTAATTTTTGAGATTTGTGTATATACACTACCCAGATCTCATCTAACGATAATAAATAAGATGGTGAGCAAAAATATTAGCAAAAAATATGTATATTTAGGTTTTTATGCAGCATTTTTCAGTCAACATATATATTTTACATCTCACCATTAGAGAATTTTCCGGCCACTAAAAATGTAAAATACTCATTTTAAGGGATTTTGCATCTTCTATTTGAGATGCCCTTAGGTCTTTCAATATTTTTGAAAATAAAATAGAATTGAAGACGGAGAGAATTTCAAGGAGCAAAGAGCGAGTCAAAATAATTGCCTTAACCACAAGTAAACAGGGTAAGAAATGACAACCCCAGAAAAATAACTGCCAACTAGAAAACCAAATAAATCCCACCAAAACATTCCTTCTCTTCTCTGTATAAAAAAGCGATCCCCCTCTCATCTGCACATATACAGTCCTCTGATATCCAAGCAAGAAAAAAAAAACAAGCACGAAATATAATTTAACGATGGCCAATTCTAATAGTATCGTTCTTGTCTCTGCCCTTTGCTTCTTGTCGCTCATCGGCGTCGCCTACTCCACCGAGACCCTCAATGTCCACGGCATTGTTTATTGCGATAATTGCCGCACGCAGTTCTTTACCAGAATCAGTGAACCCCTCACAGGTACGTATGTTCAACCTATAGTACTTGATACATTGTCTATATATAATTACAAGTTACTAAATATAAAACAAACTAGATTGATACTCGAAATGAGAATTTTTTTTCTCTTCCCTGACATTGCATTGCATGCATGGAATGGTACGTACGTGCAGGTGCAAAGGTGAGATTGGAATGCAGAGAGAGTGAAGGGGGAAAAGTAACTCTAACCAAAGAGGTAGACACCGAGGAATTAGGAACTTACTCCATTCCGGTGGAAGGAGACCATGAAGAGGAGGTTTGCGAGGTGATCTTGGTGAAGAGTCCCAAGGAGGACTGCAGCGAGATCAGCAACGAGCTTCATGCGAAGCTCAGCGCGAGGATCAGCCTCACGAACCACAATGGCATCACCGGGCCTCATCGCATGGCGAACCCTCTCGGTTTCATGAAGAAGGAGGTTGATCCTAGGTGCGCTGAGGTCCTCAAGGAGCTCGGACTCACCCCCGATGGCGAATTTATTGACGGCGCTCCTGATGCCGCTCCTGATGGCGCTGCTGAATAAGCCATCAATAATTTTACGTACTTCAGAAAACCAATGGGAATTGATATCCCAGCCTTTATTATTCGATCATGTGTAATCAATAAATGGGGTTTTTATTCATTTCCCCTACTAATCCATAAGTGATATGCATGAGAAATTTAAATTATACATCGATCTATCGATCTGCAGTAGTAGCACTTAATTTAGGGTCATATTTTTCTCAAGGTTTCCTGCAATATTCTTCAAATCTCATGTGATCAGCTACTACTCTTCTTTTACACATATAATATATATATTACCCAAGTTACATCAATTTTGTCACAACATTCGAGCTTAAAAGTGAAAGAATAAATTGGTTTCGAACTCGTTATCTACTAAGTTCAGCCAAAAATTTGTCAGTTAAAATTACAAATGAAGAATAGGAAAGCAGATATGCATAAAGAGAATTAATCCTCATGCTGATCAAACATAAAGGTAATATGGTTATCAGTAAATAACTATTTGCCAGACTTTTCCAAGGCAACTTTTTGTGTATGGATTTTTTTATTTATTTTTATTTAATGATTGAAAATTAAGATGATTGTGTAAAAGATAAAATAGGGTGTGGATAACACCACCCTTCTAATTTCTCCCCCAACTCAACTGAATAATACATCTAAAATATAAAGGCGATATATAGTAACTAAACAATCATTTCTATAATTATTCTTTTCATCATTACATCACAAATCCCCAAAAATTGAGAAGTCTGAGGTAAACCATAACATCGTCATGTGATGTATCGATCCATGTATTATAATATGAGTTAATAATATCAACAAATGTTCTAGTGTTCTCAAAATACAATTATATGATGTTACTATTGCACGTGTTATAATATAAATGAACGATGATATTGATATTTCTTACCTTTACAGTATATTAATAAAATATTAAAAAGAAACGCATCTAGTATAATCTGAATGAAATAATAATATCACATTACAGTTTTATGAGTATATTCAAATTATTCAACAATATAATTGATATTTCATAAGTTTACGTTTTTTCAAAAATAAGACTGGCCTCTATCACCTTATATGATTTTACACAATGTTTTATAATATTAATATAAAAATTGACCTTAAACCGTTAAATGACCGTGAGATGACATAAAATTCATAAAAAATCTCATTTCTGAAATAGTCCACTAAACAATTCTCGAGAAATTAATATCGAATTAATACTGACGTGACCGTAATCCACTAAATGATCCATAAACCGAAAACTAACCCGATTAATAAAAAAACCGGGTGCCCACAGCCCAAAGCACATAACCCGCATACGAGAGAAGAAGGCAAACCCACCTGTGCCATTTTACTACCCAATTGCCCCGCTCCTTCAATTTGCTGCCGCAACCCCGCCGTCCGTGCAGCTCTCTTTCCCTTCGGCTGCTCACTCACTACGAACTAGTAAGTTCCTCTTCTATTATTCAATTGTCCTTTAATTTTCTTGTTCGTCGAAAAATTAAACTATTGAAAAAGTTTCAATTTTTATTAATTTTTTAAAATTTTAATTGTATCAATGGAAGGCCATGGCGGCAAGGGCTTCCAGAAAATTGCTGAGAGACTTTTTGTTCAAAAGGGCATGCGCAGCTCCTGCTGCAAGTGCTAGACATTGTTCTTCCGCTGCTCAAACTGCTCCAAAGATTCCACATTTTTCGAAGAAAGTACGTTCTTTCTCTCTCCTTTTTGTTGCAAATAGTTGCAGAGAAACTTAAAGTGTTAATTTTTTCCAGTAAATTTGCAAACCCATCTCGCCAAATTGGTGTTTTTTCGCTTGTGCTTGCTCACGGTTTAATCTTTGGTCGATTTTTGTTTGATTTCTGAGGTGGTGTGTGTACTTATTTTCAACTGTAGGGGAGGTTGTTGACGGCAGCCACCTTAGGCTTAGTTATCGGTGGCGGAGCTTATGTGAGCACTGTGGATGAAGCAACTTTCTGGTATCAAATTTAAATTTTCGAGTAGAAGTTGTGCTCTGTTTGCATTTAAACTTTCTTCTGGCTTACAAGTGGATGGTGGTTCTGGCATCTATATTGAGTAATGCTATGCATATGTTTTTGTACCACATTTTTATACCACCTTAGGTGGCATTGATGTAGACAGCCGCATTATTTGAATTAAACATATTTTTAAATTTAGTTCATTATTTAATAAACTAATAATTAAGAAAAACTAGTTAATTAAATTATGATTGTGGTATACGAGGAGTCTTTCTCCGTCATTGCCTTGGGTTTTGCAAATTTTTCAAATAATGTGGCTGGCCACATCAGATGCCACCTAAGATGGTATGAAAATATGGTGTAAAAACATGGTATAAATAGCATTACTCATCTATATTTATTTACAATGACCGCTATCCTAACCTAGCATTCTACGAATGAGAAGATTATAGTCGTAACGGATTTAGAATTCTCTCAAGGTTTCTCTTGCTAAGTTTATAGGCGTCTTGAGGCATTAAAGAATAAACCTTTTGTATCCTGCAATGCACATTACTTATTGGTCAGAGTGTCAGGGTGAAGCCTTTAAGCTTCTGTACAAGATACTTGTATCTATTTCTTTATGGGTCTAACTAGGCACCTAAAGGATCAGCACTTAATTCTCAGTTCAGTTATCTTCGTATTTTCTTTTGCCAAGATGGTATTCCGCCCCGTCATAATGTCTGGGTCTTGGTGGATGCACAAAAGACTGAAATTGGAATTTCTTAACTCATTGGTAATTTGATGGTACTCATCAGATATAAATTATGAATTGCCATTTTGTTATGTTCTGCATCATTCTTGTCATGGCAATAAGGTTTTTTATCGTTATTCTAGTGTGTACTTATTTCAGTGTATGAAGCAGAAACCATATGAGAGAAATTGAATTGCCATTTTTTCTCGTTGTTGAATGGCTTAAGTTTTTGTGAAATATTGAACATAAATTTTAGTTACATATATTGCTAATTTTTGGATATCAACTTTTTGAAGTGGCTGGCTATTCTCAGCTACAAAAATTGTGAATCCATTCTTCGCTCTTTTAGATGCTGAGACAGCTCACAGCTTGGCTGTCTCAGCCGCAGCACGTGGTTGGGTTCCTAGAGAGAAGAGACCAGATCCATCAAATTTAGGGCTAGAAGTTTGGGGAAGGAAGTTCTCCAACCCTATAGGTCTTGCTGCTGGCTTTGATAAGAATGCTGAAGCTGTTGATGGTTTGCTTGGTTTAGGCTTTGGATTTGTAGAGATTGGCTCTGTAACCCCTGTTCCACAAGAGGGCAATCCAAAGCCTCGTATCTTCAGATTGCGCGAGGAACTGTAAGAGTATATTTTATATTCATCTTATTATGTTAATAAGGACTGAATTTCCTCGAATTTGTTGTGTTGAGTCACTTTTGAAGGTGGTGTAGGTTCTTTAACTTCTGAAAGTTTTCTTTCTGATAAGTTGGGCTGGTTACATTTAATTTGCTAACTTATGTGTTATCAATCTACCTGATTTTGTGTTCAGAGCTATCATCAATCGATGTGGCTTTAATAGCGAGGGAATTGTAGCTGTTGCAAAGCGATTGGGTGCTCAGCACGGTAAGAGAAAGTTGGATGAAACTACAATCTCGTCTTCTTCAGGTGAAGAAGTCAAACCTGGAGGCAAAGCTGGCCCTGGCATTCTAGGCGTGAATCTTGGGAAGAACAAGACAAGTGAAGATGCTTCTGCAGATTATAGACAAGGGGTTCATACATTGTCCCAGTATGCTGATTACTTGGTAGGTTTCTCTATACTGATTTTTCATAGTTTAGTAATTGTTCTGTTTTTATGCTAAGTATTGGAATTTTATTCATGAAAGAAGAAAAAAAGTCTTCCAGATCTAAATTGTTCATTCTTTTAAAAAGAAATCACTTTTGTGTTTGCTACTCACCAATGCATCAACTTCATCATGATGCCTATATTAGTGTGCTGTTTTCGTGGCCAAGATCTAATAAGATATGTTGCTATTGTGTTGGTTCTCCATGCAGAAAAGCAATGAGAGATGCATTTGAATAGGCTTCCTGCTTGCAGTCTTTTAGTTGATTGTTTCATTTGAAAGTTGCATAATTTCATACCATCTTTATGCTATTCTATCAGATCTCACAAATTGTACTACATAATTTGTTAGGTATTCCTTGTCCACCAACAATGACCTAAAATTTTTGAGGAACTTTCGAGTCAATGTTTTTTGTTTACTAGAGATTTTGAAAAATAATAGCTTTAAAGGTCAGGTGGGGAGCAATATTTAGGAAGTCCAATTTTATTTACTTGAATAGGATATGAACAATCAAACTTGAATCTGGAAATGGCTCAGATTAAATTTTACAAAAAAGTAAAAGCTGTTCAACTTCAGCTGTAAAGCTGAAATCACAGTCGGTTGAAATTTGTGATTGCTGAACATTCAATTACATGTGATAATACATAATCTTCCATGATTCTTTATATTATTCCTCAGAAGTTAAGTTGTCGGTAATAATTCCCAAACTAGAAGCAATGAAGTTTTAGTTTATGTGTATATGTGTTGAGTTCAATTCCTGTTGCATTAATTCGACCGTACTTATGCTTTATCTGTCTACAGGTGATCAATGTTTCATCACCCAACACCCCTGGGTTACGTATGCTTCAGGGAAGAAAGCAGTTAAAAGACCTTGTGAAGCGGGTATGGAGCTCTAACTGCTCAATGCATGAATTTTGTATCTATATATTAACCAAAACGTCTGAAAAAGTTAGCCCTTGTAACACTTTCTTCCTATCAAGGTTCAAGGTGCTCGTGATGAAATGCAATGGGGTGAGGAGGGCCCTCCTCCATTGCTCGTGAAAATTGCTCCAGATTTGTCTAAAGAAGACCTTGAAGATATTGCTGCAGTATGCATTCATGCTCGTAATTGATTTTCTTATTTCCCCCATTAAGATGGTTTTCTCAAGGTTCTTTGTTTATGGATATAGGTTGCCCTTGCTCTTCGCTTGGACGGATTGGTATGTTTTCTTCCGGTCACAAACTTACCTATTATACTAGATTAGTATATTATATTCTTAATAAGAATCTTTACTTAGTCCCTTTCGTTTCTAAAGAAAATATAGAAAATTAACTTTAGTCAGTTCATGCTGGGTGTTCTGCATGTTGATATGTTGATGAGGTTATGATCTCGCTAGCATATATATCTCTCTCAGTATATTGATCTATACTTAAATTCAGTGCAATTTCTTCTATTCTTTACGATGTTTATTTACTTTTTCTTCTAGATTATATCAAATACAACTGTTTCAAGACCAGAATCTGTTAGTAAACACCTGTTGGCTTCTGAAGCTGGTGGCTTGAGTGGGAAGCCACTTTTCGATATGTCTACCAATGTATTAAAGGAGATGTACATTTTGACAAGGGTACGCCGTCTCTCTGTAACTCATATAACCTGTTATTCACATTATTTACACTGTGGTAGAGTATATAGACCATGTTCTTTAAAGATTGTTCTCATTTTAATGTTTGATTACTGACATGTTTGAACATGCATGGAGTATTTTGGTCGGGTATGCCATTGTTGTACTGATCCATCATTCTACTGTAGCTTAAGTACAAGAAAAGTTGGACTATTCATAATTTTTCTATGCCCATAAATTACAAAGTAGAGACTTATAAAAGTAGAAGACTTAAAGATGGATCGTATCCTAATTTCATGTAGAGTAGCTTGTCAGTGTTTTTGGATCATATCCTAATTGCATGTACTGTAGTTCAACTGGTACCAAACTGATTTTCTTTTATTTACTTTCTATGGAAGGAAATCTTTGGCTTGAAACATTTAGTCCTCTTTCGGATCTTATGTGTGCTATTTGTTTACAGTCTATGTTCTTCTCTTTTGGTTTCATTTATATGTTATGTATCAGAGCGTGACCACTAATATTAATATCGTTCAGGGAAAGATTCCCTTAATCGGGTGTGGGGGCATCAGCAGGTAAGATCAGAATAGCGCTTCGCTCTTGTTTTCGTTGACATCTATTATTCTTCATTTTTCTGAAACTGGAACTTGTTCATGCCATTGATTTAGTGGCGAGGATGCTTACAAGAAAGTACGAGCTGGTGCAAGTCTTGTTCAGCTTTATACAGCATTTGCTTACGGGGGACCTGCTCTCATCCCCCAGATAAAGGTATTTTCTGGTGCTCTCATTCTGCGGAAACCCTATTTTTTGGCCTATTGTCAAAGACGTGCATCTAATACTCTTGTCATCTTTTCTTCCTCTCTGTCTCTCTTAGGCTGAATTGTCCGAGTGCTTAGAAAGGGATGGTTACAAGTCCATCAGTGAAGCAGTTGGTGCAGATTGCAGATGAGTTTGCCCCATGTATGGCAACGTCGAAAGTATAACAAAAGATATACGCGGTGCACACATTTGTGGCGCAAGCAAATTCCTACACTGCACGGTGTAAATTTTGGTTTTTAACCGATTTTATTTTGTTTTTTTGAGAGGGGGTCGGAGAGGACCCGTAATTGCATGTACTGCTTCACTGATGGAAATTTTGAGAAATTTTGGAAGAGGCATTATTTGTAGTTTGTACCGTAACCTTTTAAGTGTGAATGCTAAATTTAACCGTAGCAAAATGGAAAAGAAAATCTGTTGCCTTAGAATTTGTATGTACAAATTCAAATCTGTTGTGTTCTATTATTGAGTTTTTGCAGGCGTAGACGTGCTAACACATTCACTGAAGAATAAGAAGTTGCTTTATTAACAAGCGATGGTGGGGTAGGGTTTTCGAACTGAGAACTTCGGACGCATAGATAAATGCTCTTAATTTTTATCAACTCTTATTTTCTGTGTGCACCTTGAATAAGCACCCTCATTTTAATCTTGAATAAGATGGCTGTACGATGTACATTTGACCTAATCCTACCAAAGAAAAAGGAATATACTTTTTCTTTTCATTTTTTCTTTTTTGCTTTTTCCCATCAACCACAACGTACCTGCATACAAAGAAGTTCTTCAGTGATGGAGCTGCTCACATCTGGCGACCATTTTTTATTTAGAGAAATCCTTGAAATAAAAATAGGGAACTTTAACGAAAAGCTCTCAGTACTATTCACTTTAACAAAAAAATCATATTTTTACACTACAAAAAATCAATTCTGGTATCACACTGTACTCTTTATTTTTTCCTTATCGTTAAAACTCAGAGTTTTCAAGCCATTTTCATTAGTTTTCCTATAAAAATAATGTTTTCCCCTATTACTACTATTTCTAACACGCTCAATCACTTTGATCAAAAGTTGTAACTTAGTATTACGGTCTAGTGATATTCCTCTTCACTTGTAAGTAAGAGGTCTTAAATTCAATTCTTGCCAAAGTCGAATTTGAATCACATTATTGCTAGCCCATTGTAAGGCTAAGCCCACCCCTCCCCCTTAGTTTAGATAATATCGTTTGTTAAAAAAAAAAATCACTTTGATCAAAAGCTTATATTCCTCGATTTTTTTTATTCTCAATCACTTTTCTCTCTCTGCTCCACACTTGTCATTTGAGAGAATTTTCGGTGAAGTTTTCTATTAGATCAGCTTTCACATTAAGTGAGACTAATAGGAAACAAATGAGGCTAAAATTTAAGGAGTCTCATACTTTTGTAAGGAGCCGGGATCGGACGGTTCATAGTCTATACTGACTGAGTTTTCTTCCATTTTTCCTAGGTTAAATAACTGACTGATTTTCCTTTAGTTTGGCAAGTAGCAAGGACAAACAAGAAGTCGGTAGCTTGTAATTCATACCTCGTCCATGTTTCAAGTTTTGTGCTCACTTAACCAACCTTATTCATCCACTTGGTACATGGTCAACCGTTCCATGCCACATAAAATATTATTTATGGTTGCAGATTCGCATGGTTTTGTTCGAATGTTCGATTCCACAATATTTTTGTGATTTTTTTTTTCTTTTCCGATCGATATTTAATTCCATGCACATGTTAATTATATAGGGATTAATAGATTTTTGTTGTTGTTAGTATATAGGGATTGATAGATCGCAATTTGTATATATACACACCAGTAATTACCATTAGGCTAATTCACAATACACTTTTTTTTTCTTTCGATTTCTTGAAATTTCTAATTTATGGATATGGTGAAAGAATAAATTAGGACAATATGATGATTCAGCTGCATGGTTGGCCACCTGAGCCGGTCCTCCGCCTCTTCGCCACCGGGAAAACTTGGTGAAAACTGCCTTGTGCCGCCGCCACTTGCCACTCTTCCACCACCCCATCTAACTCAAACTGGTGCACCACATCTGAACCCTCATATATACAACCCTCCGGTAACCCGGCCAGCCCCCGACAAGGCGGCTTGGTTTTTCGTCGACCAGCCCCCACGGGGACGTTCCGTAGGGCCCCGCCGGCCGTCCAGTACCTCTGGCAGCCCTTGCAGAAGTGCCTAGGCTGGTTAACATTGTAGTTATTAAAGTAACAAAATTTTGTCTCCATGCTTTTGCATCTTGGGCATGGTATGATCCTATCAGGCCGCTTCTCCACCGTTTGATCATCCTTTTTGGGTTCTTCTTTTACTTGTGATGATCTGTTCTGCAGTGTAATCGTTTTCCCGAAAAGCTTAATTCCATGAACATCTTGGCCGGTTTGGACCTGAGCCATGGAATTTTTTGAGAGAGAAAACAATACAAAAGCTAGAGAGAGAGGGGGGGGGGGAGAGAAGAGAGAGAGAGAGAGAGAGATGATTTATGATTTGAGCGACATACACTTTGTATGGTTTAAGGAAAGGTGGTGTGCTACTGCAAGTGGTTATGTATTTATAGATCGAGGAGAGGGGATAAAAGTGCTTAAATTAAAAGCAGGAATTGTATGTAAAAATCCATTTGACAGCCGCCAAGAGCTTGGGCAGGTGACTTTAACAAAAGGGTTGAGGGTGAGCTTTTTGTCCACATCATTACTCCATGTCATCATCATGAAGTCTAAAAGTGGGTCCCGTCCAGTTAGGCCGCGTACAAAGAGTTAGAAGTTGATGGGAAGCATAAAGAGATCGATTAAAGTATGTTTCGCTAATGAAAGTTGAAGCTGTGTACATATTCTACCCTAAAAAATTTTATTGAGAAAAAAAGCGATAAAGTAAAAGTGCTTCTTGTTTTTGCTTTGAGAAATCTCCATGCATTAGGCTTTAGCTTTTGGCTGATTAAAAACATATAAATAATATCAATGCGATATCTAATTAGCTCGCAACTGTAAGCAGTGCTGGTGAAGCTCTATAAGTGAAAAACTAATATATATCATACTTTCGAAGAAAAGAGGAAAAGGAGAGATTTTAGTTAGGTGGTCCTAAAGCTTTAGCTTGCAAGCATGGGTGGAGAACAAGGGGTCTTCAACATGCATGCATGCTCCCCAGCCTTTGTAATTTGTGCCCTTTTGCTCTCAGTGGCACTTGCGGTATGGTGCTAACATTGTCGATGTAAATTTGTGCCGTCTTCAGTATTGACGAAAATTCACCTGCAAAACAATCAACATCTTTAATCAGAGACCTAAGACTCATGCGCCCACGAGGTGGGGGGGGTTAGGTCAATGGATCTCCGATGCCTAAGTTAGTTTTTCTAAGAGAATAAAGTGTTTAGGGCTTTTTAGAGTTGCAAAAGCTCTGAAAATTTGGTAGAATATGAGGTATTTATAGGGTTAGGGCCGGCCATAGAGAGATATTCTCTAAATATTCCCAAGATATTAAATATGAAATAATATCGTGAGATAATGGTATAATTATCCCTAATTGATTTAAATTAGGATTACTTACTTGATTTGCGTCAATCTTCAATTATGAATGTATTAAAGATAGGATTTGGGTAATTAATCCTTATCTTTAATTTCTTGCCAAGGGCAGGTGAGCTGTGGGCAAACGTATTCAGCTGCTGAGACCTCCAGGGGTGTGAGTTGCGTGTGCCAGCCCATTTATTGAGGGCAATCTTGTCTTTCTTGAATAAAAGTCCACGTGTCACCTCTAGAATATTTGAGATTATTTTAGGCTCCACAAACATGACATCAAATGTGCCAATTACAGTATATTTCATCCGGATATGTATATTAGTAATCACTTTTAAGATCTATAATGATTATCCGTTGGATATAGAACCGATAGTAAAGGTCCAATAAACGAGCAAACAACTTAGGCATGGTTATCCAATTACGTTATTCGTACGTAAGATATCTATCACAAAAGCATGAAATCTTCTGTATTTTTTAGTCTCATTTTAATGTTTTATCTAATAGTGGTCTTATTCAGTATGAAAGCTGCTAATCAGGCGACGTTACTGAAATTTCTTGTAGTTGAGCAAGGCAAGATCATTCAATCCTGAAAAAAGGGTAAAAAATTAAAGTAATTGATAATAGTTTTATGTTACAAGGCAATTGCAATTTTGTTGCGTATGAACTAATTATTGGTCTGTTGGGTGAGATCATTCTCACTTACGATGATATTTCTTTTTTCAATATTGGAAGATAGTCGGATTTTCCCCTCTATACTAATAAGTACTACTGCTGATAATAATAATGAATAGAACTATATACACACATGCCTTTGGAAGAAAAGAGAAAAACTATACACATATACATGCCATGAATGATTTTTGTTGTCCTACCAAATTCTGCCAGCAGTGAGCTAGCATATATGCCTCCTAGGAGGGGTGAGTGTCTTACATATATATTACTTTAACTAACTATGGAGATCACTTGTGAAATTTTATATCAATTAGGCGATGTTTAAGGCATGTTATTGTCATTAAAGTGGGATACTTGTGCTAATAATCTAATGTTATTGCCAAACACTTTGTTTCAAAGCCATCTTTTCAGGTTTCAATGGATTTGATGATTAACCTTGTACGTTGTTTCCTTTTCATCACACTTGACATTGTGGGGTTTGTGGTCCGGGACAGCTTTATGCTAAGGGGATTCTCTCAAGAGTGGGACTTTCTGACATTTCATAATTTAATGTCAATTTTTGTATCAACATTATAAAATATTGTGCTAAAAACAAAATGTGACATATCTATAGTCAAACAATTATTGTAAAAAGCAATGCGAAAATGGGATTTCTTTAATAAAGGAATCTTTAATTAGTTTATGCCAAAAAAGGAACCTCATTTCCAACACTTTTTCTAACTTGTATGATGCAGACAAAGTAGCACAATTCCAACACTTTTTACTTGGAATGAAATGCATGCAAATTTTTCTTTATGATGCTTTCCAAAGTCCCTTTTAATCAAAAGATTAAAGGATATGTAAAGAACAAAGTGATTTGGGTGCATCATTTTTATGGTTGGGGTACCTCTTTTTTAGGGTTAAAACTGCCTTTCTTGTGCGCATGTAAAGAGAAAAAAGCATCAGCGGAGTAATATTGGAATTTCTTTTCTTTTCTTATTACGATTTTAAAAGTTGCATGTTCGTATTATTTTATTCGGTGTTTTTATTATAAATAGTCTTTAAAATTGGGATAACTCATTCTTTCGAGCCCACGTGACCACTTTTAATGCTAAAATGGACGGAAATTGAACGTAAGGACAAACTGATTTGTGGCAACTAATTTCAGGGAATTAATTGATTTTTAACTTCAGGACTAAAATGAGGAGTTATACAATTTTAGAGACCATTCATGATAAAATCTCTTCCATTAATTAGTCCAACATAATTTGCATTTGACAGTATTGGAGCAGAAAAATCCGTCCTTCAAATTCTCCAACAAGTAACACTAGTAGAAAAAACGGCTTGCGCGACAGAAAAAAATGTTTTGTCACACAAAATAGACAGGATAGGAAAAAAATATTTGCGCGACGAATATTTGTTGTTGTCGCGTAAAGTCAGCAAGAAAACGCGGGGTAATTTTTTTTGGCACGAAAAGGGGACATTTGCACGACCAAGGGTTCATCGCGCAAGTTCTTGTGAGTTTTCAATTAGACCATTCACTGCAGGTGAATCAGATGAATCAATACCGCATTTAATACAGATGTTTGCGCGACAAAACCTTCGTCGCGCAAAGGCCCTAACCTTCCTATAAATATGCACTTCTGTTGTCCTTATTCTTCACAATTCTGTTCTTATTCTTCAAGAACAGATGGAGGATGAAAATAAGGATTAGAGCGTGCCCGCCACCAACCCGAATGATTTGAGACAACATTTTGAGTTTGCGCATGTGATTGTTGTAGCCATGCTAAATAATTGTCCCACTGTTGAGTGGTGTTCTTGGAAAGATGTGCCCAAGAATGTGAAGAAGCTTGTAATGGATGAACTATTAGTAAGTATATTGTTGATGGATCAATAATTAAGTTTGTGAAATTTTTAGTTATATGTTGGAATTAATTATTTGCATATATGTGTAACAGTGTAAGCATACTCTTGATGATGGTACAAACAAATAGTTGATGAAGTTGATGGAGGATGCGTTGGAGGGAGGTTACAATCAGTGGCGCTATGAAGTCTTGCGGAACGGACGAGGACCATCGAAATAGTAGTTTTAAATTTATGTTTTATATGATAATATTTAAATTTAAGGTTTTTTTTATAAGTTATGTATTTGGACTTAATTAGGTTTTAATTCCTGTTTGGTTTTTTTATTAAGGCCTAATGTAAGCACCATATCCTCGGTTTGTATGTGTTTTCAATCTTCAATGAATATCGTACTTATGCTCAAAATAATTGTATGGATTAAGGCATTAATTATTTATATAATAAATATTTAAAGTATTAATTATTTATAAAATAAATATTTCACGTATTAATTATTAATAGAATAAATATTTAAAGTTATTTTTAGAATAAATATTTAACTGAATATTTGCAATCATTCCGTTCGTCGCTAAATATATTGCGTGACGCTTTGTTCGTTGTGTAAGATTACTTTGCACGACGAACATCAGATGTTTGTCGCACAAAGCACAGTCAGATTGCGTTCAAACCTTCCCATTTATTGCGCATTTATGACTCGTTTTGCGCGATGAACATGAAGATTTGCGCGACGAATGGGTTCCTCGCACAAAGGTATCCGAGTGCTATATAAACATAGTTTAAGAACCCTAGTTTTCAAAAAAAAAAAAATTGTTTAAAAAAGAATGGCCGATTTTGGATAAGGTTCTGCCAAAAAGAAACTTGTAGTGCGATTAGAGATGTATCGATGGAAGCAAGAACCGTACTTTGGAGGCAAAAATATGGCTGAGGTGTACACCGAATTTGTGTATGACATTAGGAATTTGGTGCGGAGGGATTGTTCTGTTGAGTTTGAGTCTTGATAAAAGGTCCCTGAGAAGTTGAAGAAGTCCATGCTGGGGGAGTTATCGGTAAGTTTGTAGTAAATAATGAACAATTATTTTTGTTAAAACGTAATATTTTTAAATTACTAATTTATTGTTATTGACATTAATGTAGGTTCATTGGGATGTTGATGAAACCGAAAATAAGCAACATATTTATGTGGATGGGCTTTTCAAGCAGAGTTTCCGGTGATGGAAGTTTGATGTGTTGCGGGCAAGGGATGATTGAAGTTGAGGAGGGTTGCTTTTTTTTTTTTAAATAAGATTTTGTGGACTTTATTTTTAATTTAATTAATAAATTTATGTTATGTGGATGAGTATTAATATTTTCATTAATTATAATTTTTATTTGGGATAGTAAATTAGTTTTGTTAATTAATTTAATGTTTAATAAGGTTTGAGTTTTTTTTTATTTATAACAAAAGAAAATTTTACAATATTTACAAATAAAACGGAAAAACAAAAAAAAATAAAAAATATGCATTACGCGACGATACATGTTTTCGTCACGCAATTTG